GGTGAAGCCGCACAGTTAGCGGGGAACTACAGTGTAACCTCGCTTCAGCATCATGTCAAGGCCATAACTTCACTTATCACTTCATTCAAGTACAAAGGTGAAGCCGCACAGTTAGCGGGGAACAACAATGTAACCTCGCTTCAGCATCATGTCAAGGCCATAACTTCACTTATCACTTCATTCAAGTACAAAGGTGAAGCCGCGCAGTTAGCGGAGAACTACAATGTAACCTCGCTTCAGCATCATGTCAAGGCTATAACCTCACTTATCACCTCATTCAAGTACAAAGGTGAAGCCGCACAGTTAGCGGGGAACTACAATGTAACCTCGCTTCAGCATCATGTCAAAGCAATACCCTCACTTATCACTTCATTCAAGTACAAAGGTGAAGCCGCACAGTAAGCAGGGAATTACAATGTAACCTCGCTTCAGCATCATGTCAAGGCCATAACCTCACTTATCACTTCATTCAAGTACAAAGGTGAAGCCGCACAGATAGCGGGGAACTACAATGTAACCTCGCTTCAGTGTCATGTCAAGGCCATAACCTCACTTATCACTTCATTCAAGTACAAAGGTGAAGCCGCACAGTTAGCGGGGAACTACAATGTAACCTCGCTTCAGCATCATGTCAAGGCCATACCCTCACTTATCACTTTTTTCAAGTACAAAGGTGAAGCCACACAGTTAGCGCGGAACTACAATGTAACCTCGCTTCAGCATCATGTCAAGGCCATAACCTCACTTATCACCTCATTCAAGTACAAAGGTGAAGCCGCACAGTTAGCGGGGAACTACAATGTAACCTCGCTTCAGCATCATGTCAAGGCCATAACCTCACTTATCATTTCATTCAAGTACAAAGGTGAAGCCCCACAGTTAGCGGGGAACTACAATGTAACCTCACTTCAGCATCATGTCAAGGCCATATCCTCACTTATCACTTCATTCAAGTACAAAGGTGAAACCGCACAGTTAGCGGGGAACTACAATGTAACCTCGCTTCAGCATCATGTCAAGGCCATAACCTCACTTATCACTTCATTCAAGTACAAAGGTGAAGCCTCACAGTTAGCGGGGAACTACAATGTAACCTCGCTTCAACATCATGTCAAGCTAACCCGCACTTATCACTTCATTCAAGTACAAAGGTGAAGCCGCACAATTTGTGGGGAACTACAATGTAACCTCGCTTCAGCATCATGTCAAGGCCATAACCTCACTTATCACCTCATTCAAGTACAAAGGTGAAGCCGCGCAGTTGGCGGGAACTACAATGTAACCTCTCTTCAGCATCATGTCAAGGCCATAACCTCACTTATCACTTCATACAAGTACAAAGGTGAGGCCGCACAGTTAGCGGGGAACTACAATGTAACCTCGCTTCAGCATCATGTCAAGGCCATAACCTCACTTATCACTTCATTCAAGTACAAAGATGAAGCCGCACAGTTAGCAGAGAACTACAATGTAACCTCGCTTCAGCATCATGTCAAGGCCATAACCTCACTTATCACTTCATACAAGTACAAAGGTGAAGCCGCACAGTTAGCGGGGAACTACAGTGTAACCTCGCTTCAGCATCATGTCAAGGCCATAACTTCACTTATCACTTCATTCAAGTACAAAGGTGAAGCCGCACAGTTAGCGGGGAACAACAATGTAACCTCGCTTCAGCATCATGTCAAGGCCATACCCTCACTTATCACTTTTTTCAAGTACAAAGGTGAAGCCACACAGTTAGCGGGGAACTACAATGTAACGTCGCTTCAGCATCATGCCAAGGCCATAACCTCACTTATCACCTCGTTCAAGTACAAAGGTGAAGCCGCACAGTTAGCGGGGAACTTCAAAGTAACCTCGCTTCAGCATCATGTCAATGTCATACCCTCAATTATCACTTCATTCAAATACAAAGGTGAAGCCGCACAGTTAGCGGGGAACTACAATGTAACCTCGCTTCAGCATCATGTCAAGGCCATAACCTCACTGATCACTTCATGCCAGAACAAAGGTGAAGCTGCACAGTTAGCGGGGAACTACAATGTAACCTCGCTTCAGCATCATGTCAAGGCCATAACCTCACTTATCACTTCATTCAAGTACAAAGGTGAAGCCGCACAGTTAGCGGGGAACTACAATGTAACCTCAGTTCAGCAGCATGTCAAGGCCATACCCTCACTTATCACTTCATTCAAGTACAAAGGTGAAGCCGCACAGTTAGCGGGGAACTACAATGTAACCTCGCTTCAGCATCATGTCAAGGCCATAACCTCACTGATCACCTCATTCAAATACAAAGGTGAAGCCGCACAGTTAGGAGGGAACTACAATGTAACCTCGCTTCAGCATCATGTCAAGGCCATACCCTCACTTATCACTTCATTCAAGTACAAAGGTGAAGCCGCACAGTTAGCGGGGAACTACAATGTAACCTCGCTTCAGCATCATATCAAGGCCATAACCTCCCTTATCACCTCATTCAAGTACAAAGGTGAAGCCGCGCAGTTAGCGGGGAACTACAATGTAACCTCGCTTCAGCATCATGTCAAGGCCATAACCTCCCTTATCAACTCATTCAAGTACAAAGGTGAAGCCGCGCAGTTAGCGGAGAACTACAATGTAACCTCGCTTCAGCATCATGTCAAGGCTATAACCTCACTTATCACCTCATTCAAGTACAAAGGTGAAGCCGCACAGTTAGCGGGGAACTACAATGTAACCTCGCTTCAGCATCATGTCAAAGCAATACCCTCACTTATCACTTCATTCAAGTACAAAGGTGAAGCCGCACAGTTAGCAGGGAACTACAATGTAACCTCGCTTCAGCATCATGTCAAGGCCATCACCTCACTTATCACTTCATTCAAGTACAAAGGTGAAGCCGCACAGATAGCGGGGAACTACAATGTAACCTCGCTTCAGTGTCATGTCAAGGCCATACCCTCACTTATCACTTCATTCAAGTAGAAAGGTGAAGCCGCACAGTTAGCGGGGAACTACAATGTAACCTCGCTTCAGCATCATGTCAAGGCCATATCCTCACTTATCACTTCATTCAAGTACAAAGGTGAAGCCGCACAGTTAGCGGGGAACTACAATGTAACCTCGCTTCAGCATCATGTCAAGCTAACCCGCACTTATCACTTCATTCAAGTACAAAGGTGAAGCCGCACAGTTAGCGGGGAACTACAATGTAACCTCGCTTCAGCATCATGTCAAGGCCATAACCTCACTTATCACTTCATTCAAGTACAAAGGTGAAGCCGCACAGTTAGCGGGGAACTTCAATGTAACCTCGCATCGGCATCATGTCAAGCCAATAGCCTCACTTATCACCTCATGCAAGTGCAAAGGTGAAGCCGCACAGTTAGCGGGGAACTACAATGTAACCTCGCTTCAGCATCATGTCAAGGCCATACCCTCACTTATCACTTCGTTCAAGTACAAAGGTGAAGCCGCAGAGTTAGCGGGGAACTACAATGTAACCTCGCTTCAGCATCATGTCAAGGCCATAACCTCACTTATCACTTCATTCAAGTACAAAGGTGAAGCCGCACAGAGAGCGGGGAACTACAATGTAACCTCGCTTCAGCATCATGTCAAGACCATAACCTCACTTACCACTTTATTCAAGTACAAAGGTGAAGCAACACAGTTAGCGGGGAACTACAATGTAACCTCGCTTCAGCATCATGTCAAGCCAATAGCCTCACTTATCACCTCATGCAAGTGCAAAGGTGAAGCCGCACAGTTAGCGGGGAACTACAATGTAACCTAGCTTCAGCATCATGTCAAGGCCATACCCTCACTTATCATTTCATTCAAGTACAAAGGTGAAGCCCCACAGTTAGCAGGGAACTACAATGTAACCTCGCTTCAGCATCATGTCAAGGCCATAATCTCACTTATCACTTCATACAAGTACAAAGGTGAAGCCGCACAGTTAGCGGGGAACTACAATGTAACCTCGCTTCAGCATCATGTCAAGGCCATAACCTCACTTATCATTTCATTCAAGTACAAAGGTGAAGCCGCACAGTTAGCAGGGAACTACAATGTAACCTCGCTTCAGCATCATGTCAAGGCCATAACCTCATTTATCACTTCATACAAGTACAAAGGTGAAGCCGCACAGTTAGCGGGGAACTACAATGTAACCTCGCTTCAGCATCATGTCAAGGCCATAACCTCACTTATCACTTCATACAAGTACAAAGGTGAAGCCGCACAGTTAGCGGGGAACTACAATGTAACCTCGCTTCAGCATCATGTCAAGGCCATAACCTCACTTATTACTTTATTCAAGTACAAAGGTGAAGCCGCACAGTTAGCGGGGAACTAAAATGTAACCTCGCTTCAGCATCATGTCAGTTAGCGGCTGTATAACACTGAACCAACAATTCAGTTGTTATTTTTCGTTTGTTCATTCATTTATGTCTTTCATTCGTCGGTTCTTTGTGAAGTACTGCATCCATCTGGCCCGGGGTTATTATTATTGTTGTTATTAATATTATTATTATTATTATTTTTATTATTTTTATTATTATTAGCTCAGGGCCCTTGCCCCCTCCACACGCAGCCCAGACAGTGAATGGGGCTTCTCCCAGAAAGCGCTGCTTAGTCGAACCCACCGAACCTCCAGAGCGGATACAACGTAACAAGCATTGTCTTCACAGCATATTCTTTGGTCATCCGTAAAGGTCCGGGGTAGAATAGGTCTTCAGCAACCCATACTTGCCGTAAAAGGCGACTATGCTTGTCGTAAGAAGCGACTAACGGGATCGGGTGGTCAGGCTCGCTGACTTGGTTATGGTGTCATCGTATCCCAATTGCGTGGATCCATGCTCATGATGTCAATCACTGGATTGTCTTGTCCGGACTCGATTTTTTACAGACCGCCGTCATATAGCTGGAATATTGCTGAGTGCGGCGTTAACAAACAAACAAACAAACAAAACGTTGGTCATATCTACATTGCTTCTTGTACTTCCTGTCAGATTATGTCTGAGAAGATCGAGGTCGTTGTGAAGAATTCTACTGAGATGGGGGAGGGGCCCCACTGGGACGACACGATACAGAGCCTGTACTACGTGGACATATTCGTCGACGACGTCCACAGATACAACGCTGTCACAGGAGAGGACAGCCGACTAGACCTTGGAGGTGAGTCCAGTTGCTAGATCTTTTAAAAAATAAGCACTCCTGATACATCGGCTCGCGTGCACAATGTTTCTTTATGCAATAGTCCAGCTATTGCTGTCTATAAATAATCGAATCTGGACCAGACAATCCAATGATGGTCATTGCTTTACGGAACTGAGATACGATGACATGCATCAGCCAAGTCTGACCACCCGATCCCTTAAGTCGCATGGGTTGCTGAAGATCAGCTCCAACCCGGATTGTGCCAATTCATTTCATCCCACAATTTTCGACAGTTGCAGATATTTAATGAGATTGCGAACTAAGTGTTTACGCAAGGATGAGTTGGAATGTTAGATCGCATTGAAGGAACAGTAGGGTAGCCTTGTGGTTAGAGCCTTCACTCGTCCCGTCACTGCTCGACTCCCCGAGTGATACAAGGTGTGAGGCGTGATACAGTTTTACTCAAATGATCCGATTTGTCTGTTATACGTTTCGGATCGGACCGCCTCCGTGGTCTAGTGGTAGAGCGCCCGTCCGCCCCGAGAGCGGAAGGTTCGGGGTTCGAACCCCGGCCGCGTCATACCAAAAGACGTTAAAACATATTTCTTGTTACCCTGCCTCGCGCTCGGCATTAAGGGGATAAAACAAGGACTGGTCGGCTCGGAGTCAGTATACTGTGTCCGAGTGGGGTATTCATGTTAAACTGCGACATGGTATCTCAGTGGGCTAGCACTATAAATCAGCATCAGTCCGGACAAGTACAAGCAGCCACACACACATGTGCATGCAATAATCTTGGACGCGACGTTAAACCCATTTTCACCCTTACCCGCTGGGGATCAGTAAACCTTATTCAAGATATTCTCATGAGACAATAAACGGGACTTCGAAATATTACAGAATTATGTATGTGTCAACACCTTATTTTCATTGAAGGAAAACCTGATGTGCTCTCTGCATTGCCAAACAATCTCCGGGCGTCAAACAAGAGCTTCCCTTTAAGCCGCTTCTTTAGTTCTCAGTGCATGCCAAGTCTGAACTGTCATGTCATCATGTTTCATGCGTGGAGACTCTGTGGCGAGCGTCATCATCCCCCGCCAGAAGGGAGGCTTTGTGGTGAGTCAGAAGACAGACCTCGGCCTCTTGGACTCATGGGAGAGTGGCAAGGTCACCAGCATTGCGAAGGTCGAGGCCGACGCCAATATGTTAAATGACGGCAAAGTGGATGCTTCCGGTAGACTCTGGATTGGTAGGTTCACATTCTTGTGTCTCGTGTTGAGTGAGTTAGTGACTGAATGTATGTGTGTATGTATGTATGGATGTATGGATGTATGGATGTATGGATGGATGGATGGAAAAGGAACTAGCTGAGCTAGCTAAAATGTTGTTTTATTGCAGATGAAAGGCATGCATGGAATGGTTGTTGAATGCCTTTTTATTTCAAAATCATAAAGGAAAAAGGGATGATTGGGTAGCCTGGTGGTTAAAGCGTTTGCTCGTCACGCCTAAGACCCAGGTTCGATTCCTCACATGGGTACAATGTATGAAGCCCATTTCTGCTGTCCCCCGCCGTGGTATTGCTTGAATATTACAAAGCGGCGTAAAGCAATACTCACTCAATCACTCAAGGCGGTGTAAAACTTAACTTACTTACTCATTGTGAGTGAGTGAGTTAAAATCATCGTCGCAACGGTGTTATTTCAGCCATATAGTGACTACTCATAATGTATTATACAGACCAGTTTATATTGGCCAACTCCTGTACCATCAAATGCAAGCTTACACAGGTGCAGCGATCTTTCAGACAGGGCGCTTTATTAAAAAAGCGAGAACATTTGATATTATTTATATGTTTGTTTGTTTGTCATTAAATGCCGTACTCATCAGTATTTCAGCTATATGATGGCGATCTGTAAATAACATTGTGACGATCGATCCAAGCAATTGGGATCGATGACATGCATCAACCAAGCCAGAGTCTGACCACCCAATCCCGATAGTCGCCTCTAACAACAAGCATAGTCGCCTTTTACGACAAGCATGGATTGCTGAAGACCTATTCTCCACCCGGATCTTCACGGGTCTGATATTATATGTAAGAATAACTACCTGATAGTTTCTACCCAGGGTCTTGTTTCTGTGGCAAGGGTATTCCTGACCCCAACACGTGGCCGAAGCTTCAGGGCTCATTGTACAGCCTGGATAGTGATGGCAGCGTCAAAAAACACATCAGTAACATCACCATCAGCAACGGCATGGACTGGAATGAAGACAACAGCATCATGTACTACATCGACTCCATCCCCAGGCAGGTCTGGGCCTTCGACTTTGACATCACAGCTGGGGCCATCAGTAAGTAGACTCTGGCACTCCCAGCAACCAGGGCACACGTTCTGTCTTGTGTGTTGTTCAGTGTCCCAATGATGCAGCTGCATGTAAATTCTGCCTTCAGCCGAAGACCCGGGTTTGATTCCCCACATTGGTGTAATGTTGAAAGCGCATCTCTGGTGTCCCCCGCTTGAATACTGCTAAATGCGGCGTAACACCATACTAACACACACACTCACATCTAGTGGGTAACGATATTCTAGTCTACCATGTAATTACCTACCTGGCGGCGTCATACCAAAATACGTTATACACTCGCGTCTGGTACTCGCTGTGTTCCTGCCTGGCGGCGTCATACCAAAATACGTTATACACTCGCGCCTGATACTCGCTGTTTACCTGCCTGGCGGCGTCATACCAAAATACGTTATACACTCGCGTCTGGTACTCGCTTTGTTCCTGCCTGGCGGCGTCATACCCAAAAACGTAATACACTCGCGTCTGGTACTCGCTGTTTACCTGCCCGGCGGCGTCATACCCAAATACGTAATACACTCGCGTCTGCTACTCGCTGTTTACCTGCCTGGCGGCGTCATACCATAATACGTTATACACTAGCGTCTGGTACTCGCTGTTTACCTACCTGGCGGCGTCATACCAAAATACGTTATACACTCGCGTCTGGTACTCGCTGTTTACCTGCCTGGCGGCGTCATACCAACATACGTTATACACTCGCGTCTGATACTCGCTGTTTACCTGCCTGGCGGCGTCATACCAAAATACGTTATACACTCGCGTCTGGTACTTGCTGTGTTCCTGCCTGGCGGTGTCATACCAAAATACGTTATACACTCGCGTCTGGTACTCGCTGTTTACCTGCCTGGCGGCGTCATACCAACATACGTTATACACTCGCGTCTGGTACTCGCTGTGTTCCTGCCCGGCGGCGTCATACCAAAATACGTTATACACTCGCATCTGGTACTCGCTGTTTAGCTGCCTGGCGGCGTCATACCAAAATACGTTATACACTCGCGTCTGGTACTCGCTGTTTACCTGCCTGGCGGCGTCATACCAACATACGTTATACACTCGAGTCTCCTACTCGCTGTGTTCCTGCCCGGCGGCGTCATACCCAAATACGTAATACACTCGCGTCTGGTACTCGCTGTTTACCTGCCTGGCGGCATCATACCAAAATACGTTATACACTCGCGTCTGGTACTCGTTGTTTACCTGCCTGGCGGCGTCATACCAAAATACGTTATACACCCGCGCCTGATACTCGCTGTTTACTTGCCCGGCGGCGTCATACCAAAATACGTTATACACTCGCGTCTGGTACTCGATGTGTTCCTGCCTGGCGGCGTCATACCGAAATACGTTATACACTCGCGTCTGGTACTCGCTGTTTACCTGCCTGGCGGCGTCATACCAACATACGTTATACACTCGCGCCTGATACTCGCTGTTTACCTGTCTGTCGGCGTCATACCAAAATTCGTTATACACTCGCGTCTGGTACTCGATGTGTTCCTGCCTAGCGGCGTCATACCAAAATACGTTATACACTCGCGTCTGGTACTCGCTGTGTTCCTGCCTGGCGGCGTCATACCAAAATACGTTATACACTCGCGTCTGGTACTCGCTGTGTTCCTGCCCGGCGGCGTCATACCAACATACGTTATACACTCGCGTCTCGTACTCGCTGTTTACCTACCTGGGGGCGTCATACCAAAATACGTTATACACTCGCGTCTGGTACTCGCTGTTTACCTGCCTGGCGGCGTCATACCAAAATACGTTATACACTCGCGCCTGATACTCGCTGTTTACCTGCCTGGCGGCGTCTTACCAAAATACGTTATACACTAGCGTCTGGTACTCGCTGTGTTCCTGACCGGCGGCGTCATACCAAAATACGTTATACACTCGCGTCTGGTACTCGCTGTGTTCCTGCCCGGCGGCGTCATACCAAAATACGTTATACACTCGCGTCTGGTACTCGCTGTTTACCTGCCTGGCGGCGTCATACCAACATACGTTATACACTTGCGTCTGGTACTCGCTGTTTACCTGCCTGGCGCCGTCATACCAAAATACGTTATACACTCGCCTCTGGTACTCGCTGTGTTCCTGTCTGGCGGCGTCATACCAAAATACGTTATACACTCGCGTCTGGTACTCGCTGTTTACCTGCCTGGCGGCGTCATACCAACATACGTTATACACTCGCGCCTGATACTCGCGGTTTACCTGCCTGGCGGCGTCATACCAAAATACGTTATACACTCGCGTCTGGTACTTGCTGTGTTCCTGCCTGGCGGCGTCATACCAAAATACGTAATACACTCGCGTCTGGTACTCGCTGTTTACCTGTCTGGCGGCGTCATACCATAATACGTTATACACTCGCGTCTGGTACTCGCTGTTTACCTGCCTGGCGGCGTCATACCAAAATATGTTATACACTCGCGTCTGGTACTCGCTGTTTACCTGCCTGGCGGCGTCATACCAACATACGTTATACACTCGCGCCTGATACTCGCTGTTTACTTGCCTGGCGGCGTCATACCAAAATACGTTATACACTCGCGTCTGGTACTCGATGTGTTCCTGCCTGGCGGCGTCATACCAAAATACGTTATACACTCGCGTCTGGTACTCGCTGTTTACCTGCCTGGCGGCGTCATACCAACATACGTTATACACTCGCGTCTGATACTCGCTGTTTACTTGCCCGGCGGCGTCATACCAAAATACGTTATACACTCGCGGCTGGTACTCGATGTGTTCCTGCCTGGCGGCGCCATACCAAAATACGTTATACACTCGCGTCTGGTACTCGCTGTTTACCTGCCTGGCGGCGTCATACCAACATACGTTATACACTCGCGCCTGATACTCGCTGTTTACTTGCCCGGCGCCGTCATACCAAAATACGTTATACACTCGCGTCTGGTACTCGATGTGTTCCTGCCTGGCGGCGTCATACCAAAATAAGTTATACACTCGCGTCTGGTACTCGCTGTTTTCCTGCCCGGCGGCGTCATACCAACATACGTTATAGACTCGCGCCTGATACTCGCTGTTTACCTACCTGGTGGCGTCATACCAACATACGTTATACACTAGCGTCTGATACTCGCTGTTTACCTGCCTGGCGGCGTCATACCAAAATACGTTATACACTCGCGTCTGGTACTCGCTGTTTACCTGCCTGGCGGCGTCATACCAACATACGTTATACACTCGCGCCTGATACTCGCTGTTTACCTGCCCGGCGGCGTCATATGAAAATACGTTATACACTCGCGTCTGGTACTCGCTGTTTTCCTGCCCGGCGGCGTCATACCAAAATACGTTATACACTCGCGTCTGGTACTCGCTGTTTACCTGCCTGGCGGCGTCATACCAACATACGTTATACACTCGCGTCTGGTACTCGCTGTGTTCCTGCCTGGCGGCGTCATACCCAAATACGTAATACACTCGCGTCTGGTACTCGCTGTTTACCTGTCTGGCGGCGTCATACCAAAATACGTTATACACTCGCGTCTGGTACTCGCTGTTTACCTGCCTGGCGGCGTCATACCAAAATACGTTATACACTCGCGCCTGATACTCGCTGTTTACCTACCTGGCGGCGTCATACCAACATACGTTATACACTAGCGTCTGATACTCGCTGTTTACCTGCCTGGCGGCGTCATACCAAAATACGTTATACACTCGCGTCTGGTACTCGCTGTTTACCTGCCTGGCGGCGTCATACCAACATACGTTATACACTCGCGCCTGATACTCGCTGTTTACCTGCCCGGCGGCGTCATATGAAAATACGTTATACACTCGCGTCTGGTACTCGCTGTTTACCTGCCTGGCGGCGTCATACCAACATACGTTATACACTCGCGCCTGATACTCGCTGTTTACCTGCCCGGCGGCGTCATATGAAAATACGTTATACACTCGCGTCTGGTACTCGCTGTTTTCCTGCCCGGCGGCGTCATACCAAAATACGTTATACACTCGCGTCTGGTACTCGCTGTTTACCTGCCTGGCGGCGTCATACCAACATACGTTATACACTCGCGTCTGGTACTCGCTGTGTTCCTGCCTGGCGGCGTCATACCCAAATACGTAATACACTCGCGTCTGGTACTCGCTGTTTACCTGTCTGGCGGCGTCATACCAAAATACGTTATACACTCGCGTCTGGTACTCGCTGTTTACCTGCCTGGCGGCGTCATACCAAAATACGTTATACACTCGCGCCTGATACTCGCTGTTTACCTACCTGGCGGCGTCATACCAACATACGTTATACACTAGCGTCTGATACTCGCTGTTTACCTGCCTGGCGGCGTCATACCAAAATACGTTATACACTCGCGTCTGGTACTCGCTGTTTACCTGCCTGGCGGCGTCATACCAACATACGTTATACACTCGCGCCTGATACTCGCTGTTTACCTGCCCGGCGGCGTCATATGAAAATACGTTATACACTCGCGTCTGGTACTCGCTGTTTTCCTGCCCGGCGGCGTCATACCAAAATACGTTATACACTCGCGTCTGGTACTCGCTGTTTACCTGCCTGGCGGCGTCATACCAACATACGTTATACACTCGCGTCTGGTACTCGCTGTGTTCCTGCCTGGCGGCGTCATACCCAAATACGTAATACACTCGCGTCTGGTACTCGCTGTTTACCTGTCTGGCGGCGTCATACCAAAATACGTTATACACTCGCGTCTGGTACTCGCTGTTTACCTGCCTGGCGGCGTCATACCAAAATACGTTATACACTCGCGTCTGGTACTCGCTGTTTACCTACCTGGCGGCGTCATACCAAAATACGTTATACACTCGCCTCTGGTACTCGCTGTGTTCCTGCCCGGCGGCGTCATACCAAAATACGTTATACACTCGCGTCTGGTACTCGCTGTTTACCTGCCTGGCGGCGTCATACCAACATACGTTATACACTCGCGTCTGGTACTCGCTGTGTTCCTGCCCGGCGGCGTCATACCAAAATACGTA